ATCTATCTGTAGATATTATATTGAAAATTAGTCTATACATTAGACGAAATATGAGTCGATTTTTAGCATGAGTTTGCTCTATACACGTTAAGTCTTCAGGCTATTAACGACGCGCCAATGGCTTGTCATTATCGCACAATGATCTGGGCGACGCGCTGACGCCTCCATACATGTAGCCTTATATATATATATATATATATATGTGTGTATATTATAGATTTACTCGCGCGTTTCTACGTAGTCCCAACTCAACTGTCACCCCTGTTGCTAAGCTTCGATTAATAGCTTTTCGTTTTTCATCAGTCGGTGCCTTACAAGCAAGAGTGAATAGGCTTACTGACTGCACGTGAACTATTTAAAACTTTATCTGCTTGGAGTGGTTGTTGACCAAAGGCTGGTATGTGACTGAAAAAAAATGTTTATTTTTAAATGCCAACCCTATTTTAAAGTGACGCAACTAACTCAAGCACTGGCCATTATCTGACTGAAGAAAAATAGTTTATTTTTAAATCGCAACACTATTTTAAAGTGACACAACTAACAATAAGCTCCCACGTCTTCACCTCGCTTGCTTAACTACTATCGGGTGATACAACAGGCACTGTGATTTCACTACATCCACAATATTTTTTTTATAAAAAAATAAGGATTACGGCCAGTGCGATTAATGCACGGTTATAGGTCCTAGGCTTTACTAAAATCGACTGCCGGTGAAATAAATTATGAAATCTTACGATAACATTCAGTAATTATTTTGTTCAAGGGGTTGTAAAGGTCAGAGAAAACGGCATGGCGGACTATGAGAAGTCACACAATGAGCAAGAGGTCTTTTCAGCTGAAAAGCGCGTGATATATAACACCTGCGTTAACCCGCTTTCCTTAGACGCGCAAAACGTACCGGGCGATGTATATGAAAAGGCGCGAGTGTTATAACGCCTTGACAACGGCAGGTCGTGCAACAGACTTTTGACTTGATTGCCGTTTAATATAATTTTCTTGAAACAGTTCTTTAACACGAAACATGACACGGTTGTTTTTCCTTTGTTTAAGCGGTGAGAGCGATAAATCCGATTTAGCTGCTCCATTTATTCGCGCACCTTACAGTTAACTAAACAAAATCGAAACGGCTGAAGCTATGAGTATGAAGTTTGGTTAATATAACTAGCGTTATCCAAACACCGCAAGACTTAACCGATTGGCGTAGTGGATAGTGGACTGGTCTCCTGCGGCGGAGGGTGTGGGTTCGATGCTCATTTCTAGAAAAATATTGTGTGATGAACACGGTATTTTTCCAGAGTCTGGGTGTTTATATATCTATAATATGTACTTATTTTCAGAAGAAAAGTATCTTTAAGCATGTTGTTCTGTTACCTAGTATCCATAGTACAAGCCTTTCTTAGTTTGGGACTAGATAATGTTGTGGAAAAAATATATCCTGAAATATTTATTTATTTATTTTATTGTGAAAGGGCACACTTAGCAGCTTCGGTTGTTGCACGACTGGGCAGGCTCGTAAGGAAAGTACCACGGCCTCACAGATAGCCAATGTTAAGCAGAAATTTTTTGTATACTCTGTGGTAACCCGAGCCCATTTGCCATTGGTTGTTAACGCATCTGCTAGCCAAGAAGTGTTGTAGATCTCCGTGGGTGGTGATCTCTTAACACCAGGTTAACCGTCTGCCAGTCTCGCTTGCCACCAACTCATATACGTTCTTTTGAAAAAACATTAAACTCGATCGTCTGGAAATACTTAGGTGTGCTTATACATAATGCTTTTGTTTTGGATTTTTCATTGAAGTGAAATACGCCACACCAAGAGTATATTATGCCTTTTCACACAAAGGGGAACAATACCTTTGGACCAAGTCGACATTCGTGACTCCTAGATATTGAAGAGTAACACTCGGGGGAATTATCTTGGTAAAGCAATTTTCTCATTTTCGAAAAAGTGTTCCGTTTGGTCTAGAAATGTCAAAGAGGAGTGACCCATTTTTTGGATACCTAATGCTTTTAATCTTCCCGTAAAGAGTTTTTAAGCAATTCATTATTTTTGATACTACAAAAATTGTTTGAATTGTTTATTTATTTATGTGAGTTAAGGTGGCATACGCGTTGCCACCTTTTAATAAAGAACTCTTCCATTTCACACCGGTCTTCTGTGAGGTCGTTGTACTTACCCGGATGGACCTGCTCAGCCCAAACCCGTGGGTTCTAGCTAGCCCACCGGTTCTGCGTCAGATGAAGCTTTAATAGTCTCGGGACAATTTTTTGATATAGTAGCCAGCTGGCGGTTCATAAATAATAATTTTAAAGTCTAAAATGATGTTTATAACATTCTGCATATGTTTTTTTTAAAATCCAATAATCATCATAATTATAATCATATTATGATGTTTATAACATTTATAACATCTGCACATGTGTTTATGTCAAGCATGGCAAGCGAGCTGATGGTCCACCTAATGTTAAGTGATAATCGCCGCGGACATTTAAAACACCCGTAAAGTTTTTTTGTATAACTGATGTTACGCTTTCAGTCTAGACCAGGGGTGAGCAACCTTTTTAATCAATGGGCCAATTTAAATTTCTAATTTTTTTGGCGGGCCGCACATAATAATTTGCGAAACTTTATTTATAATAAATATTAGAATAAAAAATATAAAATTAAAAAAGTAAAGATTTCAAATTTTAATGCAAGGTAAAAACAAACAAGAAAAGAATAGAAAAACGAACAAATAATATTTCGCTTCAGTATATACTACCATTTTATTATGATTAATTTTATAACAATATATTAATGGGAGAAATTCGATAAAATAAATTCAATTTTAGAAATGCTTGGCGGGCCGCATAAAGATGTTTAAGGGGCCGCAAGTGGCCCGCGGTCCGCGCGTTGTTCATCCTTGGTCTAGACTATTAAAGCTTCATCGAACGCAGAACCGGTGGGCTAGCCAGAACCCACGGGTTTGAGGCCCTCCTCAGTGGGTAGGGCCGCGCATGTACTCATGCGTGCGTTAGTTGTGACATGTCGCCTACGGGCCATCGAGGTTCGGTGAGGACCGTGACCCGGATGGCCGTTGCCTGTGCTTGCTTAGTCGGTGGCTGGGGGCGGTGAGAACCGCCCTGGAATGTGGGTGTATCTAGTGTACGCGTTGTGTTGGTTTCGCCGTGCTCGAAGGCGAGGACGGACTATAGTGTTTTTTGATGCACTAACTGAGTGTGTAGTGTTATTTGGCGGGAGAACCCGTAAGGTTATATGAGTTGCCACCTTTCAATTGAAGTGGACAACAGCAAAAGCGAAGAATGCTGCGTGGCCCTACGTTGGTTTTATTAGTTGTTGCAAGTTATTATTAATTGAAAAGTATTATTTTATATTTGTTAAAAGAGTAATATTACAGTTAATATTGAAAAAGTATCCATTTGAGTATTTAAAATAATGTAAAAATAAAATGCCTACCTGTCATCAGAGAACTAAAGTTTTAACTACAGCTTGCAAAACGAAGGTTGTCTTAAACAAGAATTAACTCGAAATCGTCGAAATTTCTAAACTAAAGGAGAAACGTCGCCGAGGGACGCGTCTAACAAATTATGTGTTATACAACGCCTTTGAGATTTAGAGTTAGTTGGAGATAAACCTAAAAATAGTTGAAGATAAGTTTCCAAGGTTTTTTCTATTTAAGTCTTTTAAAAACAACAGGTCTTCGTATTTTTCCTTATTATTTACAATCTTAAAGACAGTTTACTTTAAGTTAATAAATTTGACAAACTTTTGGCTTCCTATTAAAGAAGTTACTATAAGAACTGCTGTAGCTACTAAGCTGAGTTGCCGGACGTTTTACCGTATGTCATCGTTAATGGTAAACCAAACTTAAAAATAAATTTCAACTAGTAAATTTTATTAATGAGAAACTTTATGTTATTGATTAAAAATAGCGGGGTATTTCTATTTGAGGTATGCAGGGGCCCGTCAGCGCGTCCTATAATTTTGATAATGACCCAGGACACTATTGTTGTCGAGATACGGATTAATACAGCCGAGACTACCATCGCACCGCGACTTTCCGCTCCCTCCTTCAATGGGGTGGTATTCCCACCGGCACCCGAATTTGGCCGTTTGTATCGCCGTTCAAAGCTAACGAAATATCGATGCTTTGTTATCGACGGCACGTCGCGCCAGATGTTTACTGGCGGCGAATTCGGATTGGCTCGTTCCGTTGCGATGTTTTTTTTTCTATGGATTGAACTGGGCAAACAGGTTTACCTGATAAGAAATTTGCAACAGCGGAGGGCTTGCATATGCGATGATGGCCTTTCAGGTAAGTATGCTCCGTTGAGTGTTCCCGGGTCGTAGCGGTTCGGGAAGACCGCCGGCGACAGCTGACTCAACAGAGTGGTCGTGTGAGGCAGAACATGTACCGGATGTCGATATATTACATTCTCTATTTTTTTTTATTCATACATGTAAAAAAGCAAAAGATGTATCGGACGGCGCACAGTCCCGGCTCAAGCGATCGCTTGAAATGTGAGCTTTTTAGCTGAGCGGTTTACGGTGCACGTCAGCGAGAGCATTATTGAGTTGGTAAGCTGAAAACTTTAAGTAGCTGCGGTCTCGACGTGCACACCGCTTGGATGGAAACCGTGGACTTTTTGCAGATAGTATATTTAAGTGGTGACGTTTAATTCACTTTTATTCAATGCTTTGTCGTGGTTAACGTTTTGAGTTTTACGCATAGGCTAAAGGAATGTGTAATTTGTTGTTACTTGTATTAAAATTGATTAATTAATGTGGGAATAGAACCCTAAATTTTATTCATTAATCCCGGAAAATAGAGATGTTATACAAGGCAGTGAGTTATTCATGTTTTTTATTATGTATGTAATTTATGTGAAACAATATGTATGAAATTAGATGGACGAAGTTAGATATGAATTTGTGTGAAATATAGAACAAAGGAAGAAATGTATATTTGGCGCATTACATTAAAAACATAATCGTGAAAATGTATGCATCAGAAACTGCACTGTAAGTACCTCGGCATCTGCACTGTACTGGATCTGCCTCTGCGGATGCTTATAAGCAGATTGGCGTAATTACAGAACTATATATATATATAGATTATAAAAGAGATATAAACAGGTGCCAGATACTGATGAAAATATTGAATTAATATGTTTTTATCAACAAATACTTGTACTCGAGCGACGCACAATAGTTTCCTTCACTACGCCCCCAACCAGATACGTGATAACGGAGCTCCTGCAAAGCGACCTGCACAAGATCATCGTCTCCCCGCAACACCTCTCCGCCGACCACATCAAAGTCTTCCTCTACCAGATTCTCAGAGGTGAGTGCCCAGGTTCATTTGTCTCGCTAATGCCTTGTCTAGCTTAATTTACGTAAAATTGCCTCTACAGCTCAAAATAATGTTCATTTGTATTTTAATTAAAGATGTATCCCTGGCGCTGTTGCCAAGGCTTGGCTATTGGCTTCGTCGTCAGGGGTTGTGGGTTCGATTCCCATACAGGACAACTATTTGTGTGACCCACAGATAGTTGTTTCGCATCTGGGCGTTTGTCTACGTGAAGTTTATGTTTGTATATCGAATGAAATTTAATAAACTCAGCAGTTACTAAGCATCATCGGTAATTAATGATTTCATTGTCTGAATCACTAACTGTAAATGAATAAAGAACATTTGTTCTTGTTTTAATGTCGTAGCTTATCATCTGTATCATTTGACAAGTTTCCTTTACGTTAAATATAACGTATTATTAGGCTCAATTATCTTCATGTTAAAGATAAAACCAATGCCTCTTCCAACTCATCACGTGAAACTTCGCGTCGTTTGACGCTCTACTGACCTCAACCTTTATTTTCGGTCGTACTACGCTCATAAAAACATTGACGGAACTCTCATATCAGAGATGAAAGCAGTCATATCGCTTATTGTTTCCTCCGAGCCCCGCTTTTATGATATGGAGGCGATTTAATGGTCAAACTAATGGATAGTACGCCGGGAACTCGTTTAATGGGCGGCTCCCTTATAAACCGGGGAAAGTTCGTCCATAAAACGCACTTCGTCTGGTTTAAGTGGGAATTTATTAACGAAAATATCCATCAACAGGAATACGTATATAGCAACACTTTTAAAAACGAAGACACTCGAAATATATGAGACCTTTTATTTAGGTCCCAAAAATGTTTTTGTATAAAATTGATACTAAGTAGTTTTATAACTTAAAATTTATATATAAAGTTATGGATACAATAATAATATATCTTTTTTTTGTTATTTCACTAAATTTTTTTATAATAATATTTACTCAGTGTGGCTGACTTTTATTTCAATATAATCCAATAAACCAGAGATGTTAAGTATTTCAAATAAAACTATTTTTTGGAATTTGTGTTCAGGGTCTCCTAAATGGCGTGATCGCCTGTGAAATCTATTCAGAATCAACTGGAAAATTCCCTAATTCTTCATGACCAAAACAATGGAATTCATACTGTAATTGCATTCAATATTTCCTTATTGTAAAAGACGCACTTTTTAAAGAAATTGAAAACCAAATTCTCAATGATTCTGAGCGACCTGACCTGTGACCTATTGTGATATATGACCTATTGCTGATTGCACCAGAAGTTTAGAAGGCGATAAAGTTATTTGCTACGGATGTCGTTTGCCAGATCTGAATGCAAACAATTTTAAGCAATTTGTAAATGGATAACCTCAAATGTTGTGGTGTATTGATAGAAGTTATTAGACTTACTTTAGATTTAATAAATTATCTCTATTTTTTTCAAAATGAAATGGGCGCAGAAAGTAGCTCTTACTCTATAATCCTTGAACAAATGCCCAAGTGATAAAAAACACTTCCTTAATGATTACGAGGTCACATGGAACATGAAAGATAACCTCTTTGAACAAATCTTGATATTAAAATCCGTGAAATAAGGTATTTTATTTGAAAAAACTCATTTTCAAAATAAGTATTTCATTAGTACAGTTTCAGTATTACATTTGGTTCTTAAATACTTTAATTGAAAACGATTTTGTATTTTCATTTGAAATAATCAAATAATGCAACATTTGCATTTTTTTCACAATACATTTAATAAACTATTTTACACATCTCTGCAGCAAGCTGATGTCGAAGCCCGGTACGGATGTAATTGTTAATTGAAATTGTAAGTACTGTCTTTTTACATGCTAATCGGTAAAGGTAGACATCGTGAGGAAACCTGCATATTTTCGTAATTATTACAAAAAAAATGAATATATATCGTCTGCCAATATGCGGTTAGGTTCACATGGTGTATATACCCTCTGTACAGAGGAAGTCTTTGCAATTTAGTGCCACATATAATTATAGTTTTGTAAAAGGAGTAACAGAATTTTTTTATAATTTTTATTTTATTTAAATGGTGTTGCTTTTTGAGCTAAAGTACTGTATTTTCCAAAGTTAACACCGAAATACTTTACCCGATGCTCTTTAACCAATCATGTGTGCAAATAATCTCACAAAATATACTGAATGTTTAATTCGTATAACCCTTACTGATCCGTTATCCGAAGCACACCCGGCAAGCAATCCGAATTTTTTGTCAAACACGAAACCTTTCAACATGGAGTTTGAATAAAAATCACGAATATTAGCGCCTGAACTCCCTTAATTAACCTTAAAATTGTTCTGAAATATTTTACGACCGTCATAAGCACGCTTTTAATTTGCATATTGAATAGCGGGCTGGGTTTGCTTTACTGAAAAATAGCTTTGGCTTTGCGGAGCCGGGTTAGACGGGCCCCGGGGCCCACGTCCGTGTTTCTGTTTAAAAAACTCCTAGCTAGGTCCAGTGTTCGATGCTGACGCGTGAGGCGCAGCCGTCTTATTACGAATTGATTTCAAAGGTTTTCAAAGCAACGGGCACACTTCTCCGAGAAATCGAGATCTATCTAACCTTTAAAAGTTATCATTCTGTATCTGCCTTTTACTTATCAATAGTTGAACTTTAGTTTGTCAAACGTTAAGTAACACCGGTTGAGCTTTGACGTTCGACTTTTGACTTCATATCTAGAGTGCAAACATAATCTCCTCTGCAAATGGATTCCGCCGCCCGATGGCAATCCGAGTCATCTCGATTCCGCATTATTAATTCTTGCAATTAATCCCGGTGCGCCGTCACATTTCCCGGGAGCGGAGCGCGACGAGGGATTCTAGAAAAATGCGATCGTTAAGCTCGCACCGCTTGCCGCGTTTAATTAAAAAACTTTACAGAAGTACCGGCCCGGCGCACGGCGGCCGGGACTTGGGTCTGAAGTCACTAGGAAATCCACCAACCTAGAAATTCGTAGTTGCATCGCGCTACTGCGGTCGCTTTGAATCTAGTGGTCTCGCATAGTGCGAGTCGAGTGTATATCTCGTGCTACAATGGAGCGAAGCAATGCGCTTGAAATGACAACATCGTGTTATTAACCGGGCCAGGGGTGACGTCATCAACGCGCGACGGGATGTTATCTTTGTCGAAGGCAGGCGGCCGCCGCGGATTCCATAGAATGTCTCCTGCGCCGCGACATCATATATGTACACGTGCTGTGTCCGAGTGAATTGTTATGAATACATTTCATGTAGGTTGATGATACTTGACTTAAGGAACCATTTCTATCATACGATTGTTTTATTGTTATATCTAATATATAAAATTCTAAAAAAATTTTTCTAACCTACAGATAATTTATATGGCATTATATTCTAATGAATTCGGTTTTCGTGCTTTACTCAGTATACCCTTAAGACAGAGAGACTTAAACAAACCTTATCTGAAATATGTAACATGGTTTAATATTATGTCAGCGGCAGTTTATTTTGACTCTTAGATATCTTATCTCACTGTACACTGCATCATCAATAATGGTCATAATTACAATAAATTCAAGTAAGCAGTTTGGATTAAAGCATCGAGCTCAAGTCTTCTCGCTGTAAAGTCAATTTGCACTGCGTGCCCTGGCTTCGTATGCTAATAGCTCACTCGGTATTAATCGAACTAGTGAATGGGGTGGTTTGTATGCGTCCGTTTCGACTTTCCGTGCGAGCTACCTAGAATAAAATTTAGAATGGGAATATTTATACGCTGTATTAACCCAGCGCCGGTTTAGTTTGAGTAAAATCAAAATGCGCTCGCGTGGAATATATAAAGTATGCGACGTTGCACATAGCGCGGGTTAGGTATAACCCGTATTGTGCGGACGCCTCGCCTGAAATGCCAAGTAGAATGGATGGTGTTATTAGTTTGCATTATAATGCAAAGAGCACTTTTGAATGTGGTAGGTCCACGCAAGAATGTTCTGGTCCGTCCGGGTAAATACCACGACCACACAAGATGGGCGTGAAGTGGTGTTATACCAGAGGTATAACACCACTTCACTTCGTGTCGTCTGGTGAGTGGTATAGCCGGGGCTGACTTTTTTTTAAAAGTTAACGCATCTGCAACTCTACGGGTGTTACAAATGTCAATGGGCGGCGGTTATCACTTAACATCAGGTGAAACGCATGCTGGCTTGTCACTTTTTCACATAAAAGAAATTACCCTGCGTTCTGCCTAATGGTTGTCTTCGCCCTCATGCGTCGGACAAAAAACAATGTGAGAATATTACCAATTCACTGCTACAAAAAGCCATTACCGCCCACATGTACTTCTGTTACCACAGAATCGTATTTTACTTATTAATCCAAACGGTGTAAAGATAGCTGGTACGGTCCACATGTGACTGAAGTATTGGTAGGAATCGGTACACCGCGGTGAAATGGAGATATTTTCCTTTGATTACTTATTTATTTTTAATTATTACGAAAGGTTTGCTGGCAGAGAACTCTGTTTAGGGTTAAGCCCGCCTTTGTACAGTCTTTTTTTGTAATCCTTTATTTGTAAAAATTTAACGTAGATACTTTTCACAAGGAACTCGCTATTTTGAAACGCGAATTAGAACTCGAGACGGGACACCGATACGTTTTAGGTTCGCTGAGTTTTGAATGGGGCCCTCCACTGGCGTACCTTAAAAGTAAGCCCCGCTGATTAATTTCGGCCGGTCTACGAATCGAGGAGATACGCCCCTCGCACACCCGCAGTAACGAGCGAAGTCACGGAAAATGCGCCTCGCCCCTGTCCATATGTACCACCTGCTATACTAATCGAGATCCGCTTACGTTTCTGGACACGTGCAGCTGAAATATAAATGTCGGGGATTCATTCCGTTTCGTAATTACGCTTCACGTAACTGCCTGCCAAATTAGTCTTTAGTTCCGATTCGGTGGGTTTCGGAAGCCTCGTTTTTGTCTAGCCACAGGA